CAAACTGCTGGCGAGGAATATTTGTCTATGTATTTGTTTACTTGTGTATTTCCATTTCTGTTTCAATCGAATACTTTTTCATGTTCTTGGTTTATCTATTTGGTATCCTAATATTTTTTTAATTTTTAATCTATTTTCAAAGTTCTTTATAGACTAAAGATATTAACCCTTTGTTATATTTATTGTAGATATTCACTCTGGTCTTTTGTTTGCTCTCCCTACTCCCACTCTGGGACTGGAAAACAACCAACTCAAGGTTTTAATTTTTGTATAGTAAATCTTCAGATAATCTTCTCTCTCTAGGCTTGAAAGTCATTCCCACTCCAGAAGTTTGATATTTACTTCTGTTTTATTACAGATTGTCTATGTTTTAAAAAAGAAAAAGAAAACTCTTTAATCAAACTGGAATTTATGTGGTTCTGTATTCTCAAGAAAGAAACCAAATTACAAATTCTTAACCTTCAGTCAAATCCAATGCTTACCCATTATTTATAGATGAGCCTCAAGGGATTACTGCCCACTCCTACTGCCAGTGCATGTAAAATTTTATGCATATGTGTGTCTAGATAGACCCAGATAGGTTAAAATCCACTGGTCTGAATGTTTTGAAATAATGTGATATATTTCTGCCCTGTTGTATTCTGATCATAGTATTTTTCTAAACAAAGGACTTTTTTTTCTATATCGCTGTGTATGCACAATTAATCACTATAAGGCATGGTTACTCTACATAGTTTTCTTTCCTTTTGAATCGATGTTTTTATACTTCCAAGATTATAAATACCTAAAATTTACATAGGTGTGTATATTCACACACATTCACATCTATTCCTCAGATATACTAATGGAAATAAGAGTTTGTGTTTTTAAGTAAGGACAACTAAAAAGAACCCCTAATGATCACCCTGAATTAAGGTAAACACTGGTGAAGAGCAAAATGAGCAATTCATCTCTGATTCTTTTAGTATATTGAACAGCCTGATTTATTTCATTCTCCTGTGTTTAAAGTACCCTGAGAAATCCTTAGAGTGGCTGAATAACAAATGTATGTATTTGAGATTTCCAAGCATTAAGTCTGGCTCTGCTAAAATGGTTCTTTGGCTCTGCCTTAGTTTTTCCCCATCCTTCCTACTCCTGTCTTTTTGTTTTGTTTTCCATTTTAATGGATAAAATTGTCTTGCTTCATTCTCAATTTTGATTAATATTATCTAACATCTAAGTGTTAGAATTCACTGTGCTTTTAGTTGCACATATGGACAAAGAGTAGCAAGGTTAACTTACAGACTGAAATCCCTAATTTAAAAAATCACAAGATTTTTTATATTATATAGACTATTTTTTTAAAACTATTGCTATATAAACTATTGGCCTATTTTTATTGCAAATCTAACACTTGGGAAAAATTTTTTTGTAATGGTAATGTTTTTATTTTCGGTGATACTACAGTCTGGAACATGTGGCCTAGCAAAGGATATAAATCTAGGAAGAAAAACTATGGTTGGCATCAATTTTAAGTCTTTGCACTCTAACAGAGCAAAATCCTAAATTGTTTAAATACTAAATATTTACTTAAAGAAAAACAAGCGACCATTCAAAAATGGAATCAATTTAAATTGTGAATTTACCTCATTTAAAAGCTTATAGTGTTTTGTATATTCTTTATAAAATTTACAAAATGGAAGTTATACTGTCCACGCCACAATAATCTTGTGTTGCATTTTAAAGGAAAACACACATATAACATGAACACATTTGGAATGAGGCCAAATTTAGACTCCAGGGGCATACTGTTCTGTACCGTAAATTACAATCAGATGTATTTTAGCACAGATCAAATTTTCAGTCTGAAGTTGGTGAGAAGCCTAATTATTTGACCAGGTTACTATTTATGTAGACCATTCTATGGCTGTCTGTGGTTAATCCACAGCTGGCAGAATGCTAGCTCTGGGAGGTTTTTATTTCATGCTGGAACAGTTTGGGGAGAAATGGGGGTATGGGGGCACTTAAACTCTCCTCATTAAATGAAAGACTAAAAAGCAAGTACATACATATTACTATGGAGACAAGATGCTGTATAAACTGTTCGTTTTAATTCTTCAAGTGACAGAAATAGCAAAGGAAGCAGCTTGGATGCTGATAGTTTGCAAATGACATGGTAGTTGGTTAAAAAAGTAAGATGAAAACACTTAAAACATAATGTTACCTAAGACAGACTTGTTTACCTTTTAGAGCAATTGGATATTGATAAGAATTAATGGATCGGGATTTTTAAATTATGATAAAATATTACATTATTGTGATGGGAAAATATTTTATTAGCAATATTTTGAAGTAATAAAAGACAAGTATAGTATAGTATAAAATTCTCTGTTAATATCTCAAAATTTATAGGGGCACAATACACCCTTGAAAGATAAATCCTAGTATACATGACTCCTGCCAAAAAAATTAATTTTTTAGTATTGTTTTAATATTCAATTTAAAAATGGAAAGTAATAGAAAAATATATATATTTTTTGTTTTTAAACTTTCTGAAGTTTTCATGATGGAAGTGGTTAGGCCCTTAGTTGTAAGTGAATATTTCAATGGCTTTTTGGGTAACTTTTCAAAGAAGTTTCCTTTACATTTTCAAGGTTACTCTTCCATTTATAAGCTTCTCTTTTCTCCTTCTGGTTCCAATTGCCCTCACTTTATCTGGTTCCTTGCTCTGTCTGTTATTCTCGTTCCCTTTTGTTTCTTCATTCTTCTTTTTCTCCACTAGATCCTTTTCGTTGAAGAGCAGAAATGCTCAAACTTTCTTGTTGTTTCTTTTTTAAAAACAACTCTCCCAACCCCTTCCCCTATTAAAAATATCTTCCTGCCCTTTTCTTCTCCATTGTCCATTCAAACTAGGAGCATTATCTCTGGAGTCATTTGAATCCAACCAAGCTCCATCACATAAACCATGACCTGAGGGACATCTCTTAATTTTTTTTTTCTTTATTGATTTTTAGAGAGAGAGGAAAGGAGAGGGAGAAAGAGATAGAAACATTGATGAGAGACAACATTGATTGGCTGCCTCCTGCATGCCCCCACACTGGGGATTGGGCCCACAACCTGGGCATGTGCCCTGACTGGGAATCGAACCAATGACCTCTTGGTGCATGGGTCGACGCTCAACCACCTGAGACACACTGGCCGGGCTGAGGGACGTTTCTTAACTTTCCTGTCTAACCCTCTTTATTCATAAAATTAGAATAATAATAGTACCTACCTCATAGGTTTGATGTAAGGAAAAACTGACAATAATTGAGTTAATATACATAAAGCTTTTAGTATATGTAGTACCTGGAACACAAGAATTGCTCAGTAAATTTCAGATGATTTTATTATTTACCAGTAAATCTTCCAAAATAATTTATAATCCTTACCGTTTACTTTCTCATTCCTTAACACTGTCTCTTTTTTACTTTCATACCATAAGTACTTTCTCCTAGTCATCAAATCCTGTGACTTTTGCTCAGTCCTTTCTTTCTCTACCCATTAATAACACTGGGTACCTTTAAGTCTCTCCTCAAGGTTTCCCTTGTTCAATTTCTCTGTCATCACTTTTACTGTCCTCATTTGCCTCATTTTGTTTGTTTGATTGTTTGTTTGTTTGTTTTTACTGTCCTCTTGTTCTCTCTTTTACTTTTTTCCTTTCCTGTATGCCCCTATTTTTGTTCTTCTCTATTCTGCCCTTTGTCCTCTCCATTTTCTGCATTCTCTTCCTTGGTACTTACAACCCCTTTTTACCATCACCTTCTACTTCCATGGCCTTTCTCCTGAGTCCAACTTTCTGAGAAGATATTTGGGGGCCCTTTAACACCTCAAATATAGTATAAACACAACTAAACACTCTTTATTTCTATATATGCTAGGTCTTATTCTGGACTTTTTAAATTTCTCTTAACAGTAGAACCAGATTCAAAATCTCAGTCATCTTCTGACTCTTTTCTCCTTTGTCTCCCACATCTTAAACAGTTGCAAAGTCCAGAATACTTCCAGTATGATTACCTTTTACAGACCCAAATATAGACTTTTATTGACTGTTGCTAATTTGTTATTGTCCACATTAACATTTCTTTAAATTTTTTATAAGCTTGTTATTCGTTTCATTCAAGAAGAACTTCATTAACCATCATCCATCCCCATCACCCCCGACAGACTTCTAATCTGCCATTCAAGGCCCTTTGTGTTGTTCACCCAGCTGACCTATCCAGCTAATGTATCATCTATTGCCCTTTATGTAGTCCTCTACTCACTTGTTCGCCATTCAAAATACTTTTCCTATATAAGCACCCATGTTTTTGCTTATGCTTTCTTCATCTAAAATGCATAGATATATTTTAAAGACTTTTATTAATGTTCGGACATAGACAAATAGCATTTTAAAATATAGCTTTCCTGACATGAAATTTTAATTAAAATATTTTTCTATTTTGTTAGTGAACTATTTTCTTATTATTTGACATTTCTAATTCAGAACTTTCTATAAACTTAGTTTAAATATTTCATAAGGTAATGAACTATGATTTTAGTAAACTAATTTAATTTTTAAATAAATATCATGACACTTACAAGAATACAGTGTTTCTAAGAAGCTTAAAGAATCCAATCTGCCTTTATTACTGTTTCTCTAATTTAAATGTAATTATTGTCTTTAATGAGACCTTTCAAATATTTTTTCTTATGTAGATTTCCAGAATTCTTTTAGTATTGAGTATATAAATCTAATATGACATAAGTAATGTGTTATACTCTGACATAAGGGCACATATCAAGCATATAGTACTCATATGATAAACTATTCTCCTGATCAAATGCTGCTATTTTCTGCCTTGCATGTTATAACTGTGTTTTAAAGTGTGTTATATAGGTTTTTTGTATTTTGTATAGATTTTTTTTATTCTCACTGAGAGTAATTCTGGGAAGATTGCCATTTCTAATTTTTCCTTCTTTTATTTTTTATTTTTATCCAGGGCTTTTTTCTTACCGTTTCACCAGAGTCAGTGTTAAAAGTGGCTCAGCATGCTTCCGAGAACAACAGAATTTTCACTTTGAACCTGTCTGCACCATTTATTAGTCAGTTCTACAAGGAATCATTGATGAAAGTTATGCCTTATGTTGACATACTTTTTGGAAATGAGACAGTGAGTTATTCTCTTTTAAGTACCTGTTTTTTTTGGGTTTCTGGTTTGTGTATAGATTAGAAATTATATAAATAAGTTTAGAAATTATATAAATAAAACCCCAAATATTTACATAAATGTATTTAAGAATTATACAATAGAGCTGCCTAAGTTTGGAACACTCTTGATTCAGTATTTCCAGTATTTCCTTTAGTATATTCTAATTTCTTACATAGTAAAAAATTGTTTTTTAAAGGGGTAGGTTATTAAGGTTTATAATTTACATATAGTGAAATACACCCTTCCCCTCATCCTGAGCCTGTGACATTAACAGATTTGTTTTCTGACCAGTAAAATAATGTTTTTCTCTGAAATTTTCATGGATTAAGGTAAGGAACATCTAGTCTAAAGTAACTGTTTTATGAAGTTAAGTAGCTCTTCAAAATGTGAATCTAATTTACTAAATTATGAGTAAATGTTGGTATGTTATAATTTGTATTAAATTTATTTATTAATAGCATCATTTTTGCGAATATTTGAATGTTATATTTGATGGTGATGAATAGAATTTTATTTAAACATTTTTGCAGCCTTTTCTTTTTACCAAGAATATACTTTAATTCTAAATTAGTGGAAAATAATTTTTTTTTTTTACTCATTTAGTATTTAGAGCTTCTGTTTAGCCTTCTACTTTAAAAATCCAGGAAATAGAAAAAAAGAGAACTTTAGTGTATCTTCATGTGACCTGGGCAGTATTACTTACATTTCATGAAGCTTACTTAGGGTCTTTATGTGTAAAGTAAATGTGTTCTTTTAATTATTCCAGAAATCTGTTCTGATTCTAATTTTGTGGTTCTAACACCGTTTGATTATATTCACTGATTTTTATATCTAGATTAGATAACTGTGTTGTCTGTCTAGAATAACATAAAATTTGACTTAGAAATAATTTATGAAATTAACCTGGGTGATTTCTAGTAAGAATATGGTATGAATATCTTTAAAGGCCCTAACAAGTCTAAAGAAATGCTATATTCCTGATGATTTACAAACTGACATAATGACAAGAAAGTGGTAAAAGCTTGAACTCCTAGTATCTGCTAGAAGTTTCATTTGACTAAACTCTATGTTTTAGATTTTCCTTATTGCCAGTTTCATTTTCTGAAGTGCAAAGGAAATAACTAGGAAAAGTGCTACTCTAGCTCTTTAAATAACGTTAAAGAATTGGTCATTGGTATCGTAGTTTGAGAATTTTGGGGGAGAAATTGATGCTCAGAGTTCTGTATAGTCAGAAAAGATCAGACTGGCAATACTTGAATAGATGCTATAGACTTTCAGAAGACAAATTTTTTAAAAAGATAAATATTATTCTAAAGAATCAGACTTTGAATGTAAAGATGAGTTGAGAAGATTCAATTTTGACTTTAGAATTTCAAATGACCTTCATTAGGAAGAAAATGGGAGGAGCCTTAAAAATACATTGCAGAGCACACAGAAAACTCTTTAATAAGAACTTGCATTTGTAAAACACAGGTGAAAGAGAGAGAGAGAGAGAGAGAGAGAGAGAACATTTATAAAACCAGAAAACAGTGCTAAGAGTTTGGCAGAGATATATGAGAATATAAAATAATAGAGCCCCCCAATTTTAGATTTGCAGAAATTGCTGATTATATCAAAATGGTCTTCACTTTAAAATATTACTCCAAATGCACAGGCAACAACAGAAAAAGTGATTGATTGGACTTCATCAAAGTGAAAATTTTTTAGTGCATCAAAGGGCACTATCAAGAAAGTGAGAAAGACAACCCATTGAATAGGAGGAAATATTTATAAATTATATATCTGATAAGGGATTAATATCCAGACTATATATCTCAACAAAAAGAAAATAATCAATCCAATTCAGAAATGGTCAAAGAACTTAGTAAACATTTCTCCAAAGAAGATATCCAGAAGGACATGAAAAGATACTCACCATCACTAATCATTTGAGATATGTATATGAAAACCAAAATGAGATTCCACTTGGTATCTAGTAGGATGGCTAATATCAAAATTATAGAAAAACAACTGTTGGCAAGGATGTGGAGAAATTAGAACTCTTGTGCATTGATTGTGGGAATTGAAATGCTACAGTTGCTATGGAAAACTATTTGGCGGTTCCTCAAAAAGTTAAACATAGAATTATTACTATATGATCCAGCAAGTCTAATTCTACTTATATACCCAAAATACCTGAAAGCAGGGATTCAAATACTTGTACACCAATGTTTATAGCAGCATTATTCACAATAGCCCAAAGTTAGAAACAGACCAAATGTTGTTCCTTAACAGATGAATAGATAAACAAAATTTGGTATATACAGTTGACTCTAGATCAACATGGGTTTAAATTGTGCAGGTCCACATATGTGTAGATTTTTTCAGTAAATATGTACAGTACTGTAAATGTATTTTGTCTTCCTTATAATTATCTGAATAGCATTTTCTTTTCTCTAGCCTTTCTTTCTTTCTTCGGTATATAAAACATATAATATGCAAAATGTGTTAATTGACTGTTTATGTTATCAGTAAAGCTGATCAACAGTAGGCTATTAGTAGTTAAGTTTTGGGGGAGTCAAAAGTTATATGAAGATTTTCAACTGCATGGGAGATTGGTGCCCCTAACCCCCATGTTATTCAGAGTTAGTGCCCTGGCCAGTTTGGCTTAGCAGTTAGACCGTCAGCCTGCGGTTCAGAGAGACCCGGGTTCGGTTCCTGATAAGGGCACATACCTCGGTTGCAGTTTGTCCCCGGTCCCGGTTGGGGTTGTGTGGGTGGCAGACGATTGGTGTGTCTCTCTCACATGGATGTTTCTCTCTCTCTCTCTTCCTCCCTCTCTCCCTCTCACTCTGTCTGAAGATGAATGCAGAAGTGTCCTCAGGTGAGAATAAAAAAACAAGAGTCAGTTGTACATATAATGGAATATATTATTCAGCCTTAAATAGGAATGTAATTTCAATACATGGTACAATATGAACAGACCTTGAAAACATTATGTTAAGTGAAATAAGCCATATACAAATAAACAACTATTGGATTTTCCTATAGGAATTCCACTTATAAGAGGTACCTGGAATAGTCAAGTTCATATAGACAAACAGTAGAATAGTGGTTACCAGGCACTGGGGAAAAGAGATAATTGGGAGTTATTGTTCATGGTACAAAGTTTCTTTCTATTTGGGATGACAAAAAGTTCTGGAAATGGATAGTGGTGATGGTTGCACAACACTGTAAATGTACTTTATGTCATTGAATTTAACATTTAAAATGGTTAAAATGGTAAAATTATATATTTATATAATTTATATATTTAAATAAATGATTTAAAAGTTAAAGTTTGACTAGAAGTCAGTATAGATTATATTAGAAATCATTTTCCCCTATTCAGAAGAGGAAGTGGTAAAATTATAAGCTACTATGTGGCTACAAGTCATATATGTTTATTTTTTTGGTGTGATTACTAGTCATTTGAATTCATTTCAACAGATATATAGTACCTATTATGGCAGACCAATAAACAGTGGATGTATAGTATATTTAAGACGATCTATAATAATATGGATTATAGAATAATAAATATTGCATATAGGTCAATTAGATATATTGGGTATTTTGTTGAACCAATTTCAGAAAGACTGCTAATAAATAGATTTTTAGTGATATGCCTCAGTGTATACACAGAGCTTTGATTCAGATAAAACTGTATTTACAGATAGTACAAATTCAGAGAATGCAAATAATGTACCACTTTAACAAATATCAAATAGGTTGAATGTCAAAATGAGACTTAGAAATTTTAATAGACTAGAAATAGCAGTTGAGTGATAAAATTTAATAAGGATAAATAAAAATATTACTATATTTTATTATAAAAAGCAAATATAGTATTGTGGGCTTTATCTCTTTAATCTCATCTAATTGTTCTTCTCTTTGAATATTCTAGTAATAATGAATTTTCTTCAGTTCTCCAGGAAAAAAAGAACATTTTATTTCTAAAATGCAGTGAAGTGTAAAATATATTTTTCAGGGAATACATATAGGATTGTTTAATCTTTCTCCCCTCCTACCCCCCAAAATCAAATCTACTTGTGCTTACTATAAATTTTCAAAATGTCAATACTTACCTAAAACCAAATACAATTGGCTCTTATTTTTTTTACCAGATGCCGCATTCCTTTTTTCAGAGGGTCATACACTAGTAATGATGCTTTAAAGCTTTTCTGATAACCTTAATACTTAAAAAAAAGTACCTTTTCCTGGCTGGTGTTGCTCAGTGGTTAGAGTGTCGGCCTGGGCACAGAAGGGTTGTGGGTTCGCTTCCAGTCAAGAGCATGCACCTGGGTTGCATTTTCAATACCTGGCCCCAGTTGGGGAGTGTTACAGGCAACCAATCAATGTGTGTGTGTGTGTGTCTCTCTCTCCCTCTTCCCTCCTTCCCTTCCACTCTCTCTAAAAATCAGTGGAAAAAAATATCTTTTGGTGAGGATTAACAACAACAACAAAAAAAACCTTGTCCACCAAGGCTATCTGTTTACAGGTAATGAAGGACAGTGATCCCTGTGAGATAAGAAATAAATGAGATGAGCCCTACAATTACCCTATCTTACTACTTGGAATGAATTTCCAGGCCAAAGCACAGAGAGAGGGGAACCTTCTTGGCTCTCTTTTAAATTGAGAACATTAGCTGGAAGTTTAGGATATCTAACAGCTAAACAACCAGAGTTTGCAAGTCAGAGTACCAGGCAGGAAACAGCTGCATGGAGAGAGAACACGGAAGATTTACAGAGTCCCACCCAAATCTTCAGCAGATTGCTGATCAGCATATATTTGGGGGGGGGGGGATGAAGATTAGGAAAAGATTAGAGGGAATACTCCTCAGAGTGCACATAGGGCCTATAACCATCTTTGTTTCACTAGCCATAGTGGATAACCTCATAACACATGGGGCTTCAGACAAAGTACTCAGAATGCTACAGGGA